GATTTTTCTCCAAAAAAAATCAAAAGAAAGAATGAAAGTATATTTTGGAAACCTTAATTTTTTGCATTGTGACATTATTTAAAGACATTTAAGTTAATTTTACCACCTTAATTATTTTTTACCTTCTTAATTGTTCTTGAATTATGATTTTCATCACTGTAATACATGTCATTTTTATTCACCAGCATTACTGTAAAAATACTGTTTGTAAATTAAAAACAATTAATTTTGAATAAAGGCAGTAAAACAAATAAAAAATATATAAATGTCCTCATTACTGAAATGCAAAATAATGTCTCATTCTCATTACTGTAACATTAAAATTACTAGAAATAATAGAATAGAATAATTAATAATTATTCTAGAACAAAATAAGAGAAGAGAAAAATAATCAAGTTATTTATATTGATGTTTTACTGCCTTTAATTTATTAAAAAATAATTGATTTTAGTTTAATTTCTACAGTAATACAGATGAATAAAAATTGTATTACCGTGATGAGAATCATCATTTAAGAATAATTAATAAAAGACTGATGCATTACAGTAGTGGTAATTGAGTGGTAAAATGAGCTTAATTATGAAAATAATGTCAGAATGCAAATAAAAATCCTAATAGAGTCATAATTGTAGATTACATTTTATTTGTGCAAAATAATTAATTATTTTTTACCTGATTTAATCAAAGACAATATTTTGAAGCCCGTTTTTGGTGTTAGGAATGACAGTGTTTTCATGATTTGTTTGGTTCCAACGCCCGTATTCCTCATCTCACCAGCAGAGGACGCACTTCCAATTTCACATTTTATTGTGGTAAAGCCTGTCAGTCAACAGGAGGTTTATAGGTCACAATAAGTGAGTTCAGTGAAAGTGTTCATGTTTAACTTTAACCACAGAAGAAAGTTTAAGTTGATGTCAGGTTCCTGTTCTGAAGCAGATGCATCTGTGTGTGAAATGTGTTATGAGAGAGTAAAGGTTAAAGGCACAATATGTGTATTCAAAATAAACAAAGAAACAAAGGCATAGTTTGATGACGCTATGACTTAGTGTGCAATCATGGGAATTGTGGTCTTCATCCCCACAGCCGATGCAATCCGACGGGGCTTGGGCAGAAATCATGTTCATGGATGAGCTAATGATTTATTAATGTAGTAGAATGAAGCAGGGTGAGGCTGAAAGCCGTCGAAGCGAAACGAGGCCGCTGAACGAGTGTGACACATGGCTCGAAAGCAGCGGAGCTTTTATTATGCCACAGTCGACCACTTCCGCTCCTTCCGGTCGTGCGTATGTGGGGTAAAGCAGCGCTGTTTTATCAGATACATTTGAAAGTTCTGTTATAATGCTACTCTGTGCGGTCGTCACCGGCCTATTAAAACGCACAACATATTAAAGCGTCTTTGGTGTTTCCATATTTTCTACAAAACAAAACCGGAAATCAAGGGGTTATGACGTCATTGGCAGGCGACACAATGACACTATGGACACACTTCGTGTCACTAGTTAAAATTGCTTATTTCTCTGGATTTAAACATTCTTCGAAATATTTGGGATAATGTAAGAACACAAGTCAGCAAAATATATAACACTGTTCTAGTGGTTTTTGGCTATTTGAATAAAAAAATCTTACATAGTGTGCCTTTAAATGCAGTTGACAGGGAGTGTCTTGTTTTATAGCAGGGAAGTGTGACGAAATGCTCTATTTCAACTTTTCAATGTCAAATCAATTTTAACGTCATAACCTTGACTGAAAGTATTTCATTTTTGCAACAGATAAATGTTGCTCTGCTTATAGATATATTTCCATGTGTTTTATAATTAAAAACATAATGCTGCATTAATGTAGCTGTGTGATTTTATAAAAGTTTAGCTTGACTCTAATTATCTGTTATAAATGAAGAGTATTTTAGCTTCAGCTACAGTTTTTGTGGTTCCTCATGAAGCAGTTGCAGGTACTTCTGATGTACTGTTGTCTCCATCTTCCTTTGTCTGTGTGATATTCATGTTATTTATTGCAATAAATAAGACTGTATTAAAATGTGTGCACCATTTGAGGCATATTCATTTCAGCTTTCTCAAGATGATTGCCAGTGCTGCTACATGAAATCAACCTGTAAAATATAAACCATGAGAATACATTTTAGTTGTGGTAACGTGTTCAAGCAGATAAACATCACAAGCGCACTCTCAGCCCAAAATGGTTTCTCCAGTAGTTTTGTATGAATACAATATAACCACACTGCCATGCATTCTCTTAAAGGTTGAAAATTTATTCTACTTAAATATCAAGTTGTAAATATCAAACATACACCACTTTATCCAGGTCAATTTTTACACATACATACATTCATTAATAAAAAAAAACAATTAATACATTAAAGGGGTCATATGATGCTTTTTTAAAGATCATTATTTTGTGTATTTGGTGTAACAGAATATGTTGACATGCTAATATTTCCACATAGTGAGGTAGATATGTGGGGGTGTGTTAGAACGAGCCGTTTTAGGGGGGCGTGGCAGAGTCTTAACTTTGATAAAGAATATCTCTTTGGTTTTGAGACTTTAGTCTTTGCAACTTCAGGGATCTTATCTATGCACAATCAGCTTGTAACACTCCAAAGAGAAAGGAAAACTTGAAATCGCATCATGACCCCTTTAATAAAAATAAATAAAACTTCTTGTACTGCCTTAAATGCAATTAAAAATGAATGGATTTTAATACAAAACAAAACAATTTTTACAGTAATACAAATTATTAAAAACTATAAAAATTAAAAACTACATGTACTACAGTTATGAGAATCATTATTTAAGAATAATTTACAACAAATACTGCATTTGTAAAGTTGATATAAATCTACAATTTATTAACCACTATATTTATAGTTTTATTTGAAATATTTGTTGTCCAAAATGTCACCTTATATCGCTCGTCCATTATTCTTTTACTGTCAATTTTTTTCTTCAAGCATATAATAGCCTACCTGTTTAATGGCAGGTTCTGAGTGTGACATATCTTACACCATAGTGTGACAACATGTCCCAAAAGGTCAAAATGAGGTCAGAGAACCGTAAAAAAAAAATCTGGGCACTGAAAGTGGACGTTTTTGTAGTCAATCAAATTTGACATTAAAAATCAACCTACCGTGAGAAATAGGACAAGCTCAGCTGAAGAGGCGGAGAAACCCCCTCATCTTAATCTACATCATTCCCCTTTAGGCGTTCCATTGCTCGCCGGGTTCCCTCAAAACCACTGTAAAATCCACCCAGAGGTCAATCGGCCAACTTCGACCTAAGCGTTCTGATTTCGTAAGCCGTTCTCCTCTGAAACATGAACATGTCTGCGAACTTGACTGACTCGTGCATATCCCCTGATCTCGGACCTTCGAACCGGTTCGTGGCGTCGACCGTGGTGTATGGACTGGTTCTGGCCGTGGGTCTACCGCTCAACACGTTCTCCCTGTGGATCCTGCTGCGCAGTCACGGGTGCCGGTCACCGTGCGCCGTGCTCATGGTGAACCTCGCCGTGTCCGACCTGCTCCTCGCGCTCTCCCTGCCGTTGCGCGTCTACTTTTACGCAACGCTCCGGTGGCCGTTTGGAGCGGCCACATGCACCGCTGCCATCATTATGTTTCGCGTCAACATCAGGACGAGCGGTATCTTCATCACTTTAATCAGCGTGGACCGGATGATCGCCCTGGTCTTCCCTCTGCGCTCCCGCTCTCTGAGAACCTCCGCGTGCGCCTTTAAGTGCTGCGCGGTCGTGTGGATCCTCATCTCCAGCCTTTGCATCCCAGAGAATATAAAACTCTACAGCTCCCTGAAACATTGTTCCAGCATACCGTGCTTTGAGGCTCAAACGCACCCCGAAGACTCATCAGTCATCCCGCTCTCACAGGCGATATTTTTATTAATACTCCTGCTGGTCAATATCGTCTCCACGGTCGTGGTCATAATCGTGCTGAGGAAGCGTCCCAGCGCTGGCGCGGCCAAGGTGAACAACAAAATGAACGTGATACTGATTTTTGTAGTCAACATGTTGGTGTTTATAATATTTTTCCTGCCGTTTACTTTACAACTCTTGCGGTACAATAAGAACAACAGCAAGGTTTTACGAGCGCTCGTATGCCTGGCGAGTGTCAACTGCTGTCTGGATCCGCTCATCTACTACTTCTCTCTGGACTCGTTCTGGCAGGACAAGGGTAAAAGGCAGACGGATGTAGGCACTCATTCCCTCAGCAGGTCGATGAAAAGGTTTTGACAAGCTGAGAACAGTTAGGATGAACAATACTAAGGAGCCCCCAATGGGACATGGCGATGGATACAAGTGTGAGAAGGAAGGAAAACTATATTACAGTGTTTTTCGTTCTCTGGCAAAACTTCTCTCGCAAAAAAAACAACAACAACAAAAAAAGTATTGCGTTCGCTTGAGAAAATTAGCGTTTGCTTGCAAAATTATTCAATTAAACTGAATTCAGGTAAATTGGGCACTTTTTGCCATTGAGATGATTGGGTAAAATGTCCAATTATACTGTATTCACCACTATAGTTTTTCCTCCGACGTTATATTATTTCCATCGCGAAAGTTCCTCGGGTGGAGGCAATAATTCTTGATTTTTTTTTTGCACCATCAACAGGTCCCTCGATACACTGGCCAAGATAGAAGGAAATTGGGCAATATGCAAAGTATTTGGACACTTTGCACATAATATAGTTAGTGTTCAAAACGTATCTGAACACTTTATGATTATCAAATGTTGGTGGAACATGTTATTGTGATAAACTGTGGTTAATCTTCCAGAACACCTGTGTGAACTTGAGAACTTATTTCATTCATCCACTAAAAATGATCCTGAGCAGGTGAAACGGCAAAGTTGGTTGGATATTTTATTTAAATGTCCCATTTAAATCTCAAAATTTGCACTGTTTTTTTTTACCTGATTGGTAAGAGTCACATATTGTGATTAAACGTATTAATCTGTAATTTCATTATTTTTTTAACTGCCCTATACACTGTAAAAAAATTAGTGTAATTTTAACCGTGAAATATTGTAAAAATGCTATGGAAAAAAACGTAATAGGTTAACAGTAAGTTCCCGTACTATGTACAGGGGAAAATTGTAAAAGATCTAACCAGACATTTAATGTAATTTTACAGTAAAATGCTGTTAATTGTAAAAAAAAATTAAGAAGTAAAAATAGAACAAATCAACGTATAATGTACAGTAAAAAACTGTAAACTGATATTCCCAGAATTCCCTGCGTTGACGCTCCACATTTGAAAGTATTTTGTTTAAATAATCATGTTTCTTAATAGCTGTCATGTTTGTTATGTACATGTGGGTTTATGTTACATCTGTTGTTTAATGAATGTTTATAGTGTGAATGTGTGCCTTCTATATATTAGTATATACTTCAGATTGTGGAAAAGCTACTTGTGATGAACTGATTCTTCATATTGCTGTCTCATTTACCACCTGCGTTATTATGGTGGTTGTCAATTTATGTTAAAGATGCAAAACAGATTTTAGTAGCAGTGTGCAATGTTGAATTCACTAGTTTACACTCAAATTTTCTTGTTTGTAAATTACAGTTTTATACTGTAAAATTTACAGTTCTGTACATGTTTTTACAGTTTTTCTGGGTTTTTTTTGTTTTTTTTACAAAAGTACTCTGGCAACCACAGCTGCCAAAATTATTTTGTAAAAACTACAGATTAATTTTTTTACAGTGAAAGGTACTTGAAATGTAATTTGAGTCTTATCTGTGTTGGAGCCTCGTGTAAAGACTTTCCAGAATATCTCCAAAAAAAAAGAAAAGTTATATTTTTGCTGATAATGTATAAAACATGTTTTAGTTGTATATTTGCTTATTTATTTTTATGATGATGGCTAGTAAACCACATTGAAGCTATGCTTTTTTCCACTTCCTGTGTTACCAAGGTGCAAAAACTACTTCTCTCGTTCAATGCATTCTTAAAAGTAAAACATTTTGCCCTAAGAACACTTCAGAGGAACTTCTATGTACATCTGTCTTTAAAGCATGTCAGTCACAGCCACAGAAATGTAAATTTAAAAAGAGTCTGGTTCCGTCTAAATTAGTAAACATGAATGTCTCTGAGGTCATCTTTGATGAACACGCTGTGCTTAAATATAAGTAATGTTGGCTTCGTACAACATGAAGATATTTTGGATGAAAACTAGCATATCCCTTTTTTGTCATCATCATTTGCTATCATAAATGTTTACAGTTGAGGTGGTTTCTTTGTATAAAACAGTTACAATTATATCGTTGCAGTGGTTTATCCAGTGTTGTGATAAATTGTAATAAATTAATGTCAGATGACAGAAATCTGCTTATTTTGTATAGTTGATATAGATGATTTCAAAGCACTTTTTTTTGTTGTGTAATCTAAGATGTTTAAAACTGACTTCTTTATCACAATAATAAATGTATGGTGTCTTTTATCATGTGTACTAATTGTTGCCGCATTAGCTATTTTTTTAAATATTTTTTATATTAAAGGGGTCATATGATGCGATTTCAAGTTTTCCTTTCTCTTTGGAGTGTTACAAGCT